GGCCCTGTGCTTTGCCAAGTTTGTTCCAAGTAGGTGCTTTAGACCACTGAGCCATCTCACCAGCCCCTCAAGCACTATTTTTTATGAGAACTTTGCTACACCATTCTTCATACTCATAAGGCTAGACTTACAAAGCTGGACAGTTTGTCTCAATAATAAACTCAAAAGCAAGAATCTTGCCTCGGTTTCGGTCACCAGTGCCCAGTATACTAGCTTTCACATGGCAGAGGAAAGCGAGGGTTTAGCAGTCAATGGAGTAGCAGGGTGCGTAGGGCTGACCCTGGACCTCCACAGCAATGGCAGGTGCTGGGCATGATCTGATTAGAATGAAGGGTGACCAAAGAGCCAGCAGCTCACCTGTTTGATGATGTATGTTAGCTCCTCGATTTCTACTGCTTTATCATCGAAGAGGGACTTGCGCTTTGCCACTGCAGAGACAAAAGATGTGACATTGTAACAATTGTAACAAGGCTCAAAGAACTACCAGTGACATGGCTCACTGGCAGAACCCTACCCTAGCATGCACAGGTCCTGGGTTTGACAGCTACTACCCTCTCTGAAGAAACACAGGGGTACAGCTCCTTGACCCTCTTTGCCTCACTGCCACACGTCTGAAAGACTCCAAGAACACTCACAGATTGTCAGCTTCTCCAGCTTGGCAAACGTGTTGCTGAGGTCTTTCCCAATGCGCCTGTGAACGATCAGCAGAGAACATGGTAGAAGGCAGAAGACATCTACTCCCCCATTAGGGCCAGTCCAAGCCATTACAGCCCTCACAACCAGTCCACCACAGGAAGCCCACCCTGGGTCAGGACATCCCCTTACACAGAGCTGTCCTCTACTTACTTGGCCATAAGGGTAAATTCACTGCGCTGTCGGGCAGCACATAGAGCTGGCTTATTTGTCTGGATTCCATTCTGCAAAGTAAAGTCAAGAAGGTCAACTTGCACTTCCTCCTTCCCATTTCCAATTTTCATTTCCTCACGTGTCCACTACTCTAGTACTGGTAATACCATCATTGGCCAATCCAGGTCAGTGGTATCTTATCAAAACAGACAAGTAAATTTTCAGGATTTAGAAAGTATGTGGGCTGGGGAGATGGCTCAGTGGAATAAGTGCTTCCCTGGCAAGCACAAGGGCCTGAGTTCAATCCCCGGTTCTGCAAAAAAAAAAAAAAAAAAACAAACCAGATAGTGTGGGTTTAGGGCAAGTAAACTGTTTAGAATCTTCCTTTCATAAAATGAAAATAATTTATTCACCCCTATTGTTTTCAAGAGCAGGTAATGGGCCGGGGAGATGGCTCAGTGGAAGAAGCGCTTACCTGGCAAGCGCAAGGGCCTGACTTCAATCCCCGGTTCCACCAAAAAAAAAATAAAAGAGCAAAAGAGAGCAGGTAGTATAGAAGATGGAAAAAACTTGACAGGATTCTCTTGACACATTGTTAAGCAATAAAAACCAGCAACTAAATAGGGTATACCGATGAATGTCCATTTTGTATCTGTGTATTCAAAGTGGTTAGGATAGATATATAGTTGCATTCTCTTAATGAATAGAATGACTTGTTCTAATGGTGTTTGTAAATAGGATCTCAAGTCCGCATGCACAGCAATTAACCACTAAGAAGAATATTTGCAGTGTGTTATTTGTTGAAACTGTACTTCCGATTTGATTTGAAACTGTCTCATTGCTGTTTATCAATAAAATTTTGGGGAAAAAAATTAAAAAAGAAAAAAAGAAAAACCAACTAATATTACCAGCCTGCCGAAATCAGGGAATCAAGAAAGAAAACTGGAAAGTTCTTGCATATCACATAAAAGAGTAATTGCTAGCAGGAGCTGAACAGTAACAATCTTAAAATGGTTACTCAGGTCCCACTTGGAAAATACTCTCTAATCCAAACAAAATATCTCATGGCTGCCTCCTTCCGGGGTAGAGATCCCACCCTCTGGGGGTTCCTTAAACAGCCTAGGTCCTTGTCTCAAGTTCCCGAGCGAGGAAGATCCTCAGGGTTTCCCAGCACAGCACCGGCCCCGCCCCATCGATCCCGCGCCCGGGTCCAGCCTCACCTGCCGACTCTGCAGCGACCTGCAGGCGGACAGGAACTCCTGGGTCCGGTCCCTGCAGGACATGGTGCCGGGCGGGGGCGGGGGCGGGGCCGACGCCGCGGACGGGGGCGCGGCGTCGCTACGGCCTGTGCCCGCAGTGGCGGGAGACAGGACAGGGGACAGGACCTGTGTCTTCGACAGCCCCAGGTAGACGCCCTGATCCGTATTCTTAGCCCCGTGGCGTTTCCGCGGGATCATTGGGCCACATCAGCTCGGACCTTGGCGGAGGGAAGAGAGTCATCGCGGCTGCCGCCTTCCCGCCCGGCCCAAGTCCCGCGCTCTGCGGCAGGAAGGGCCCGTGTCGATCTGCTGCTCCAACCCGCCGAGCGAAGGCCCAGTAGGAGACGCGGCCGCAGCCCCAGAGGGACGCACTTCACCCGGCCGAGGGGGACCTCAGGGTGTTTATTCGAAACAGGAAGTACCACCCCGGGAAAGTCCCGCCTTCCACAAGGCTGAAGCCGCTGATTGGCTACGCTCGACGTTCTTCCGTACTGGGGTTTTCCTGGTTGGACGGTGCAGCCTTCGCTCGCCAGAGCCGGGCCGGCAGAACTTGTCTGCTGGCTCCAGCATCCCTTTCCCCGCCCGTTTCCGAGCCTGAGTCACCGCTGCCCCGAGCTTACAGAACGGCCAGGCCCCACTCAGAGCGGACCCTACCTCCTCGCCGCCGCCGCTGCAATCTTCCAGGCAGTCACCACCTCCTCCTGGCGCCGGAGCCGAGCACACTAAACAGACTGGGCACCGCCACGTCACCCATGCGTAGCCCCGCCCCGCTTCCCCTCGACCGCAACTCCGGCCTCCCATTGGCTGAGCTGGCACTATGGATCCGCCCCCAAATGAGCACCCAGCCTCTGGCCGGCCCCGCCTGGGGCGAGAAGCCTCAAAGTGCATAGCATGGACAGGGAACAGGTCGTAGCGCCGTAGCAGAGCTAAAACAGACATTTTATTCCTTGGGGACTGGATCAACCCTTTTCCGGCTGTTCCTGGCTGCACTCGTGCATGACTTCTTGGATCAGGTCCCCGGGCCTCTGAATGACTTCTGAATGTCTCGCGGACGACCGTGCGGAGCCCCGCCGGCTGAACACGGAGAGCCGCCGCCACAGCACGGTGATCAGGAAGCTGTCATCGGATCTGCGGTCCCGGTAGCCCACAGAGTCTTTCTCCTCGTCGCCTGCGGGCCTGCTGCTGCGGGCTCCAGTACCGTCCTTCTGGAGTGGCCTCGCTCTGGGCACCGGGTTCCCTTCCGCGTCCTTGTCTTGGCAGCAGCCCATGGTCCCTGGTGCTTGCTGGCCTCCACCGGGCACCTTGCAGCCTCTGTGACGTCCACCCCCATCACCGACCCTCCCCTCCCCCACCGCAGACACGGGGGCGGGGGCCGGAAGCAGCAGGTGGGAAACTGTTTATTCACGGGGGCTAGGAATTCAGGGGACCGTGGCTCTGGGACACTTTCTCCTCTTTCGGGTCCCAGGAGCCCTCAGGGTCCGGTTCGCCTGCGGGAGCTGCCGTTTGGCAGCCGCCTCCAAGGATGCCCAGAGCTCATCCACCTCAGAGTCTTCTGGGGGCTCCTCGCTAGGCTCCTGTGGTTCTTCTAGCTCATCCTGGTACAGGCAGGAAGCTCGGATCAGAAAAAGACAAGGAAGCCCTGGCCCCGTAAAGAAAGGCTGTGGGTACCCCGACCACTGCCACCATGCTCTTGGCTGTCACCCTTGAAATGACCCTAGAGAAATTAAGGAACGGGGCAGGTCCATAAGCTGTACAGGCACTGTGCCAGGCGCCCTGGACTCCCAGGTTCCCACAAGCCTCACCTCCCAGTTTTCCCTGCCTGACAGGAGGAGGCAGTTCAGTCGAGACTTAAGATAAACCTGCAAAAGAGCAGCAGTCCACGTTGAGGCAGAAGCGCGCACCCAGTGCAGGAGCAGGGGCCTGGGCTCCGGGGCGCTGGGCTGAAGTGTGGCTCACCTTATGTTCCAAGCCACGCGGGCGCCGGATCCTGTGTATCCTCAACACTCTGTCGAGGCCACAGGACGCCAGCAATGGCCTCGAGGGGTGGCACTGCAGCGCTCGGACACCGCCTGCCAGCCCCCGCAGGCAGCCCAGGAGGCGCCCTGTAAGGGAGAAGCCAGCCACGGCGCTGTCAGCGTGTAATGCTAAGAGCACCTCACACTGCAGCTCTCAGCCCCACGACAGCCCCATTTGTGCATTTCTTTCTTTTTTTGGGAGATAGGGTCTCGCTATGCAGTGTAGGCTATGCCTGAAGACTGACTCACTTTGGAACCCAGGATGGTCTTGAACTCTCAAAAGTCCTCTTGCCTCAGCTGCCCAGTGCTGGGATGAGAGGTGTGCACCAGCATGTCTGGTTAGTTTTTCTATTTTACAGGTGAGCTGGCACTGGATGGGGGCTCAGTGGCTCCCCAACAGCCTTAAATGAAGACCTTGCTTCCCCCTTGCCCCTTTCCTGGTAGGCTCACCTTGCCGAAAGTCAATTTCTGCCAGCTGCCCACGAGTGTTCCCAACAATGACGGAGCTGCAGTGGAGAAGAGGCAGGTGGGGCGGGCAAAACCTTTGGGATCCCCTTCTGACTCCGACCCTTCCCCTCTAGGCACACACTTGCCACCAGGAGTGAGAGCCATGGCTGTCAGTGGATACTCTCCATATGTGGTCTCTAGAACTGGCCGGCGCTGGGGGGACGTAGGATCATAAACACGGACCTAAAGGAAGCCCATGGTGTTGGAAGACCACGCCCCTACCACACACTGCCCCCCAACACCTCCATGTTATCTCCTTTCTTCCTGCTTGTTCATGACTTCTGGGAAATACCTCATCTCTGAGTGCTGGCGGGAGGAGGGTTTAGGGCTGTTCAAGAATGTGAGGGAGGTGGGGCCAGGGAGATGGCTCAGTGGAATGAGTGCTTCCCTGGCAAGCATAAGGGCCTGAGTTCAATCCCCACAAACACACACACACACACACCAAAAAAAAAAAAAAGAATGTGAGGGAGGGGCTGATGAGATGGCTCAGTGGTCTAAAGCACCTACTTAGAACAAGCTTAGCAAAGCACAGGGACCAGGGTTCAATCCCCCAGCACCACATGCCCTGGTGGGCGGAGCTGGCCACACACACACACACACACACACACACAATAAATAAATAAATAAAATTTTTAAAAAAAAAAAAATTTAAAAAGTGAGCTCAAGGCCAGCCTGAAGATAGTCTCAAAAAAAGAAAAAAGTGTGGCAACCACAAGGTCTTGAGTTTGATCCCAGTACCAATAAATAAATAAAAGGGGGGGGAGAGTCACAGGCTGAGGCTTAGTGCTAAGGCAGGAGAGAGGGTAAGGGCAGGTTCCGCTCAGCTTGGGAGTGAAGCAGGGGTGTGAGAAGGCAGCTATGGAGCACTGTCGAGGATCACCGGAGTGACTCCTTGAAAGAGGAAGCGTTATCCTGACCCTATTTCCAGGTATTGACACATACAGAGCTGACTAGGTCTTTTTCTTACCCCCTTCAACTGGCCTTAAGCAATGGGTATCAAGATGGTCAAGGTGCTGGTGGCAGTCTTTTAAGAGAGCAGGCTTTTTTCCCCAGAAAGTCCCACCCATTGCTCCCTAGAGTGAGCCAGGTTAAGGAGCCAATGCTCCACACTGTCAGCTGGGATTGAGCCTTTTGAGATAGGAGGCTGTGACTTTCTGAGGCTTGAAAGATAACACATCAGAGCTGAAGCACAGACCCCAAAACACTAGATACTACCTCAGTTGTGTCACAGAGATTACTCTCTCTGCATATTGCAGAGGTAAATGCAGGGCTCCTATCTAGCCCAGCTCTCAGCACTCACCTTCCAGTCATTCTCACAGTCACTCATCTTCAAGCCACTCCTTTGTGAATTAATGAAACCTGGCTTTGGCCTTGGGACAAGGCCTTTGTTCCAGATAGCCATCACTGTGGCTGGACTTAGGACCCATTGGCTCCCAAAACTACAAATATGCCTTCATGTCTTAATTCTCACTGTGGATTGCAATGGGTGTGGGAGGCTAGAATGAACCTGATGGGACTTCAATAATTTACCCATGGGATTACAAATATAAACTTCCCAGACCCCAGTGAACACTGGGAAGAGCTCTCCATAGTGTACCACTTTAGGCCTCGGCTGGGGTTAGACAGTGCTTTACCTGGTGATACCCAGTGCATGTGATGAGCTTCTGCGACCCAGGGATGAAGTATATGTCCTGGTCCCAGACTGGTACCCGCAGGTCGAGCCAGTCATTCCGCACCTGTGGAGCAGGGAATCGGGAGCTGGCTGGGCTGTTTCCTTTAGCCCCTCACCACCCTGGTCCGAGTGCTCGCTTTGGTTTTGGACACTCACATTCTTGGCTCTGAACAGGGGCTCCTCTGGCCTCTGCAGGTCCCACACCTTCAAGGCATTCTCCTTGCCCCCAGTGGCAACCACATGGGGGCGGGCTGGGTCTTGGCGCATCCTGCACACCCCGGGACCCACCTTAAGCTCCAAGAGCTGAGAAGAAATGGGGAGGGGAGAGAAGACAGTTTTAGTCTATCTTCCTTTTCCAAAGCCCTCCCTTGCCTGGCTCCTGCCCACCCTACCCACAGGAAAGAGCGTCTCACTGGGTCTGAGGGTGCCTCCTTGTCATCGCTGCGCCAGACGCTGAGGACCCCGGAATCCACACATGTGATGAGCATGCTACAGGCAGAGGAAGGTACTGTTGAAAATAAAAAGCCCCAGCCAACACCTCCAAATTTCTAGTAAGCCTTCTGAGTTGTTCCCTGGTAGCCAGACATTTCAGGGCTGGCAGGCCCCCTAACAGCCTAGTTTATAAAGAAGCCTCTGGCTGCCTGCAGTGGGACAGAGAGTTTCCTGCTTACCTGTTATCTCAGTTTACTTAAAGAGTAGGAGGGGTTACCAGTTTTGTAAGTGAGGAAATGGATATTGTGAGAATGTCAATGTCTCCATATAAATACCCTTCCCAAGAACTGCACTGGGGCTTCTTTCCAGAACCGGAGCAGCTTGAGGCTAGGCCCCTTTTCACTTCTGTCCATCTTACCACCAGGTTTCAGGCTCTCCAGACTGCTTGCTTGGGCTGTGGCAACAATCCCACCACCATCATCACTGCTTTCTCCAATCTTACCCATTCCTATAGGCTCACAGGTATACACATAGCACTTCCTGTTCAAGACTCACTAACCCCTGGGCTGGCCAAATAGCTCAGCAGATTAAAATGCCTGCAAGCAGGTGCAGGGGCTGGGGGTTCGATCCCCAGGCCTGCCATGCCGGCCCTGCCCCCAGCCATGCTGAGACAGCGATTGACATGGCTGTGGAGGCACATGCCTGTAATCCTAGCTCTTGGGAGGCTGTAAAGAGGAGAATCACTAGAGTCCGATTTAGTAGTGAGACCCTGAACACCCTGTAGATTCTTCCCTAAAATACATTTTAAAAAATAAATAGGGGCCAAGGAGATAGCTCAGTAGAATAAGTGCTTCCCTGACAGGTGCAATGGCCTGAGTTCAAGCCCCGGATCCGCAAAAAATAAATAAATAAAAGAAACCAAGTCACTGACTCCCTACCCCTACAGAAGTGGAAACCTCTCAGCTGAGCATGGTAGTGTACATGTGTAATCCTAGCACATGGTGGCGGAGGCAGAAAGATTGCCATGAGTTCAAGGCCAGTCTGGGCTATACAGTTCATGGCCAGCCTAAATCATAGAGCAAGACCCTGTCTTGAAAAAAAAAAAAAAAAAAGTCCAGGGAGATGGCTCAGTAGAATAAACCCATCCCTGGCAAGCACAAGGGCCTGAGTTCAATCCCCGGTTCTGCAAAAAAGAAAAAGTGCAAATCTTTTAACTTAACGCTTAAAGCCCTCTGCATTTCATCTCAACAATACAAAAACCACCATATTAGAATGCTTCCTTGGCATTAGCCTCCAAATGTTATTTATACTAATATGTACCCCGTAGCCTGACCTCTGTACCAAATGCCTATACCCATCCTTGTTCTTTACCTGGACAATTCTTTTCTAGAATCTTTTATTTCATCTGTCATAATTCTACTCATCCTCGGACCCCCAGTTCAAAATTCCCGTCCAAAAAACAAAATAAAACAAAAAAACTCCCATCCATTACACATCCTTTCCAAAGTTCACCTGTCGAAACCAACACGGCCTGTTCACAGCTTTACAGTATATTCGAAGAAATGCCAGCCCTGTAACCTAACTACTAGACCTTTCTATGTTATTTTAGAAGCTTTCTTACCTTGGTAGTGCAAAACATAATGGTATCAAGAAAAAAAAAACCCAAAGTCTGCAGATTTCACTAAAGCAGAAGCTTCACCCGCGGCCCTGGCACTTTGCAGCGTCAGAACTCAGCAGGTATCCTGTAAACATACGAGCTCAAACACTTGTGACCCTTCCTGGACTGTCATCCAAGGGCTTGCTGCAAGGAGTCGGCCTTACCCCTCGGCCTGGGCGAGGCCCCGGAATGCGCCCTCCCCGCCGGGGCAGCGCCTCTGGCCCTCGAATGCGCCTTCCTCGGTGTTGAAGCACCTCACCATCCGGTCGGTGCAGCCCACCAGGATCTGAGGGCAGAGAAGGAGCAACGTCGGGGACTGGACGACAGGCAGGGACAACGGCGGGACACAGGGACGCGCCCAAGCACCCACCTGGGTCTCGCCGCCTGCGCCCCAGCACAGGACGCTCACCGCCGCCTCGCGCCGCGGCTGCCCTGTCGCCGTGAAGTTTGATGCGTGCTTTCGCTGGAGGTCCACCCCTACGAGACAAGGCGTCAGAGGCCCTGGATCGGGACAGCGCGGCGCCCACACCTTCCACGTCCGACCCCGCACTGACCTTTCAGAATCCCGGTCTCGGTGCCCACCCACACGTGGTAACGGCGCGCCGAGGAAGCCGCCATGGTGGGCCCGGGCGCCAGCTGCTCGCACTTCCGGCGCACCGTGTGCGTCATCAGCCGGCGCCGGCTCTCACCTCCCGGGCGCCCTGTGCACCAGAAGACGCCGGGAGCCCCTTTCTGATGGTGCAGGTTCTTCTGTAACCCCACCCCCACCCCATCCCCCGTCCGGGCTTGATTAGATCCTTATGATATAGGGGAACGTAACTCCCGACCTGAAAGATACCTGGTTCGACTTGGTATTCTCTAAAACCGAAGGAGGAATTTTAGGAACGAACGGAGGTTAAGAGCAGAATATTTATTGGGGGAAGAAAGCTTTTGCCCGAGAGAGGGACAGAGGGGGGTCCGAGCGGGGAACCCCAGAACTCAGGCCCTTGTGCTTCTCAGGCAAGCACTTATTCTACGTTCAATCCCCCAGCACCACATGCCAGCCAGCCCCGTCCCCAGGCAGGCTGAGCTGGCCACACACACAAATAAATAAATAAATAAATAAAATAAAAATAAAATAAAATTGATTAAATCCAGGACCAAACGGCGAAGCAAGTCATGTGGCAAGCGGGTATGAACATAGAAGTTTGTCGGGGACCTAACCCGTAGCGGTTGGATTAGTGACTTCTTGGCTTCCTCAAGGTAGTGAGCAGTCCCGGATGCTTATCTTTAGGGTTTTTTTTGGCAGAACCGGGGATTGAACTCAGACCTTTGCGCTTGCCAGGGAAGCACCTATCCTACTGAGCCATCTCCCTGGCCCTCTGGATGCTTATCTTTAGGGAGGTCAGCATTTGTTTGATCTTTAGGCCTGGCCCCCAGCAGAAGCATCCATCTCTCTCACAGTTGTAAGGTATCTTTGTCTTCCGTGCTGCGCCTTTGTGGGTCTGGCCCTATCTCTGGAAAGTAAAAGTCCAGGTGTTGTTTTAGATTCTCCCACATGAGGCTCCTGCTGCCAAAATTTTGGATCAGGTCAGTTAACATTTGCCCAACAGTCTTTAGCTTTTTTTTTTTTTTTGGCGGAACCAGGGATTGAACTCAGGCCCTTGCGCTTGCCAGGGAAGCGCTTATTCCACTGAGCCATCTCCCCGGCCCCATCTTTAGCTTAATATGTAACAGACTAGTCTCCTTCCAGTGAGAGCTCTGTACTGGTAGTCTCGCTAAGCCGCTCAGACACATAGTGATCCTCCTACTTTTAGCCTCCCCAGCGCTGGAGTTACAGGCGTGGGCCACCATGCGCAGACTTGGTATGGACTTGGTATGGACTCAGCATGCCCTGGGGGCATGTGTTTTGGGAGATGAACCCTGGTCCCTGTGCTTAGCCAAGCAAGCGTTTAGCTGGCTATGCTATCTCACCAGCCCTAAGTAGCCCATCTTGTAGGTGGATCTGGACCCACGACCTTGAGGCAAAACTTTTTTAAATCCCAGCACTGGAGTTGGAGACTTGCCTGGGATACAAAGTGAGCTCAAGGACAGCCAAAATTCCATAGGGAGACTGGCTTATAAAGTCCCTGGGCAGGCGCCAGGGAGATAGCTCAGTAGAATAAGAGCTTGCCTGGCAAGTTCAAAGGGCCTGAGTTCAATCCCTGGTTCTGGAAAAAAAAGAAAAAAAAAAAGTCCCTGGGTCAGGGAGATAGCTCAGCAATCTAAGCACCTGCCTGGCAAGCAGAAGACCTAGGTTGTTTTTTTTTTTTTTTTTTTTTGCAGAACCGGGGATTGAACTCAGGCCCTTGCGCTTGCCAGGGAAGCGCTTATTTCACTGAGCCATCTTCCCGGCCCCAAGACCTAGGTTTGATCCCATGATGACCCCTTTCTGTGCTGACCACTGAAACTGGGCATGGTGGTGGCGCACACCTGTAATCCAGGCACTGGGGTGGCTAAGACAGGAGGATCACTGTGAGTCTGAGCTGCATAGTGAGACTCTGTACCTAATAATTAAGTATATCTTTTAAAAAAGTCCTAACATCTTATAGTGAATCACAAAAATCTCTTCCTTAAACAAAAAACTTCCATTGTTGGGCATGGTGGTGCATACCTGTAATCCCAGCACTCTGACTCTGAGACAGGAGGATCCTTGGGAATTGGAGACCAGTGAAGTAACCTCTAGGCCAGCCTGAACTGCATAGCCATACCCTGTCTCAAAAAGAAAAAAAAAAAAACACCGAAAACCAAAAAACTTTTTCTTTGGAACAAACTCTAGTAAGAGAGCACTATGATATAAATTGAACTACTAATAAGTAACTCAATACCAGTGTATGGCACTCACCTATAAACTACTCTCCTAATTACATATACTAGCTTAACTAAAGATGCTAATTTTGGAACATAACTTCTCCAATGCACAGTTCCTTGGAGGTGCTTGTAATACCAGATCCATGTGTAGAGTGGATGAAGCAAGCTTCTACTACATCTCTTACTCCTAAAAATCATTTGAACATACTGTCTTCAGACATAGGACATATCAGGTATTAGACATAGGAACAGACACTACATTTGATCATAGCTAAAAGGCCAAGAAGTGATGCTATGATTGTTGGCTCCTATGGTGTTTTACACTTCCAGAACAGTTGTAGATACTAAATTAACTTTCTTTTTTGTATTTAGGACAGCTGTATAGGGTCTCACTATGTAGATCGGACTCATAATGATCCTCCTGCTTACAGCCTCCAAGTGCTGGTATTACAGGCACACACCACCACGCCCAGTCTCAGCTGCCGTCTCAGTGTGCACCGGGGGCGGGGCTGGCACTGCAGGCCCACAGATGGAACCCTGGCCCCTGTGTCTGCCTAAGCAGGCACTTTAATCTGCTGAACTATTTGGCTGGCCCTAACTTTCAATGTCTATTACTTTTTAATTTCAATGCTCTGTTATTTATACTCTACAATGAGTACATTTATGAAACAAGACCATAAATATGGTCTTTTACAGCTCTGCTCGTTCCTTCCTTTCTGTATCTTGCATAAATCCACCCCCTGCTGTTTTCAAATCCTGGGATTGGCCAAGAAGTGAACCATGAAGTCATGGTTGTATGTTATGGGTCGGGTGATGAAAGAAACGACGAGAAGACCTGATGAATGTAGCTTCAGAGGTCTCACTGAGATTAGTCTCTCTCCAAGTGAGCCCAGAGCCTCAGAAGCATCTCACTTTTATTGAGGGGTAAAGGCAACTAAAGAATGTGCATAATTACCTAAGTGAATACAAACTACTGTCTCTATTGACTTCCACCATTTGCCTAGCACTAGGTTCACACAAATGCTAGCCGATAACATCCCAAGCAAGGGATCAAAGGACAGGGCGCCTGCAGGAGAAGCTGTTATCTGCTGCCTTGGGTCCCAGCTTTCCAGGAATTTGCAAACAGACAGCAACCCTCCTCGGGATCAGTCCAGGGTTCCCTGCTCTCTTGGGACATCAGGCTTTTGTCTCAAATCTGTATCTCTACAGTGCCCACTTGGCATCCTTGTCCACCCTGACAGGTTAGGGATTTTTGTTTTTCTACTGGAGATTGAACCTAGCCTCTTACGCTGAGGTACATTCTCAGCCCTTTCCTTTCTCTCTCTCTCTCTCTCTCTCTCTCTCTCTCTCTCTCTCTCTCTCTCTCCTTTCTTTCTTTGATGGAACCAGGGATTTAACTCAGGCCCTTGCACTTGCCAGGGAAACACTTATTCCACTGAGCCATCTTCCCAGCCCCCCTCTTTACCTCTGAAACAGGATCTCTCACAGGGTGGACTTGTCCTTGGGTCTTTTCGCCTCAGTCTTCTAAATATTAGGATGACAGGCCTGAGCCACCCACCCAGGCTAGGAATTCAGTTTCAGTGTGGTACCTGACTTGACCCTTCTTTTTTTAAAAATTTATTTAATGTGTGTGTGTGTGTGTGTGTGTGTGTGTGTGTGTGTGTGTGGCCAGCTCAGCCCACCAGGGGGCGGGGCTGACTGGCATGTGGTGCTGGGGGATTGAACAGCGGTCCCTGTGCTTTGCTAAGCTTGTTCTAAGTAGGTGCTTTAGACCACTGAGCCATCTCACCAGCCCAATTGACCCTTCTTTTTAATGTATTTAGTACAGGGTCTACAGGGTCTCACTACACAGATCAGACTCATAGTAATCCTCCTGTTTTCAGCCTCCCAAGTGCTAGGATTACAGGTGGGCATCAGGCGTCTCAGTCAGTCTCGGTGTGCCCTGGGGGCAGGGCCAGCACTGCCCACCAGGGATCAAAACCCTGTGCCTGGGTCTGCCTAAGCAGGCACTTTAATCCACTGAGCTATCTGGCTGGCCCTTGTACCTCGACTTGGTGGTGGAAGCCTGTGCCCACAACCCTCACCTCCTCCTCCCTTAGGTGGGACGTTTGTGCTGCTCCAGGGATCCAGCTCCGCCCTCCCCACCCTGGCCTCTCCTCTAGCCCAGGCGAGCCTGCTGTGGGATCAGCCAATGGCGGACTTGGGAACTTCATGCAAAACCTGGCTGTCAACATTTCAGACCTTGGTGAAGACAGAACTTCTAGTCCTATTGCCTGGGAAACTGTATTAACCTGGTGGTAAACAGGGAGCAGCGCTTCTGTGTCAAAAGGAACCTGGATCTGAGGCTGTTTTTCCCACTGATAGCATTTCAGCCCTCAAAGTTTCTGATAATCTGGTATTTCGTTTCTCTAGTATGGTGACCCATGGTTAAAATCCTCAGTGCCCGAGCTGCCATGCCCGTGTACTCCTGCCCAGCAGGTCCTGGACTGTCAGAAACAATCGCACCAGGAGGACTGGAACTAGCAAGAAGTAAATTCAGAAACCTTACTGGTCTCCTGAGGAGGTTAGGGTCGTCCCTGAAGGCTGGAACACACAGATGACCTGTCGACAGAGCCTTTGGTGAGGTCTGAGCAGAGGCCCTGACATCCTGCAGCTCCCATGCCTCAGCAACAATCGGGTGTCCTTCAGGTCAGCGGGCAACAGAACACACGAACAACAGGTCTCTGAGCCTCCTGCATTTGCCAGCTCAGCCCCTTTTCCACGTCTTCACCACCGTCTAAAACCCCAACCCAGGGCCGGGGAGATGGCTCAGTGGAATAAGCACTTGCCTGGCAAGCACAGGGGCCCAAGTTCAATCCCTAGTTCAAAAAAACCCACCTCCCCCCAAAACAAAAACCCCAACTCCTTACTATGACTGTGCCAGCCCTCCTGTGAGGGACAGGAGACAGACGTTCATGGCAGCAAGCCACCTAGAGGATCCACTACTACTGGACTCTGGCAGGCTGTAGGGACTGGGAGAGAAGACAGAGTCCTGGACTTGCGGGGGGAACACAGGCCTTGACTAGACCTGATTTTAGCCTCTTGAGACCCATTTTGGGCCTGACTTCTGGAACCATAATTTCATTTGTAACTCCTTTAAGTTTGTGGCAATGTGTTGCAAGAGGGGCAATTGCAAAACCTATAGCTGGATGCGGTGCTGCACACCTGGGATTCCAGCCCAAGAGGGTGAGGTGGGGGAAGAGAAAGTAAGCTGCTTAACTTAGCAAGATCCCCACATCACAGGGCAAAGCAGTTTTCACATACTATGGTGAGCTCCCACAGCAAGGTAGTAGGCCTCAGATAAGCCTGAACTACAATTATGACTTCCCCCAAATTTATATAGAATGCCCCTCAACACTCCTGCCTCAGCCTCCCAGTCCCGCTTGGGAGTGCTGGGATTATAGGCACGAATCAATGCTAGTTTTGTTTTTGTTTTTTTTTTTTCCAAAGTGTCAAAGCTTTGAGACCCAGTCCAGTCCTGAGCTCAGTATTGCTGAGACTTGTTTAGGGCTCTCAGTGGACCCCGAGAAAATGGCAATGGGAATGACAAGACCAACATGAGACAAAGCTGGGGTCAGGTGGATTCTCCTGATAGGAAAGCTACCCAAGCACTATAAAGCATTCATTCATACCCTGGAGTCAATTTCAACCTCCACCCAACAATCAACAAGTTGTAAAGGAGCACCCTTTCTCTAAGAGCTTTGTCCTGTACATGTGATTTCCAGCTTCACCTACTCTGGAGACACACCATGTAGCTCAAGCTGGCCTTAAAGTCATTAAGGATCCTCCGACCTTAACCTTACCCCCAAAGCCAATTACCACTTATTAAAAATCAGCCTGCAGGCTGGTGAGATGGCTCAGTGGCCTAAGGCACCTACTTAGAACAAGCTGCAACAAAGCATACAGACTGCGGTTCAATCCCCCAGCACCACATGCCAGCCAGCCTGGCCCCCTGGTGGGCTGAGCTGGCCACACACACACAATCACAGCTGGAAAGAACTATTTTAAATGATCTTCACTAATAGTTTCATCTCTAGGAAAAACCAGACAGGAATCAAAGAACAAGGGCATGGCAGATTTTTTTTGGGAGGACACACTGCTTGCTGGACTGGCAACGGTGCTAGAAGGCTTGCTGGGCTGCAGCAGCAAGAGGGCACCAGTGTTGGGACCCGGCCTTAGCTCAGTTGTTTAAGTGGCTGCTTCCACAAAGCTGTCAGCCTCAGGTTGCTGTAGTTCCATCCCCACAACACTCCAGCCAGCCAAACCACCCCTTAGGGCATTTAGAGCGAGAGAGAAAAAAAAAAAAAAAAAAAGAGGGCACCAGTGCTGTGCCCTTAATGAAACATGCAGGTTCTGGCTTGGGCTGTAGACTGAGGACAGGATCCAGAACCCAAAGCCAGGGCTGTGCCAAACTGTCCAGATCTTTGAACTTTCCTCTCCCATCACAAAAAAGCTGGGCTCCTACAGGGAACTCCCCCACACCCCCAAAGCAAGGACCACACAAGTAGTTTGAGAAAACAAGTTTATTACTGAGACAGGAGTGATCACATTACTAGTTCAACAGCCAGGGTAAAACTTTTTTGGAAAAACTTTAAGACTCCTACAGAGGGAGTTCAAAACAGGGTACACACCTCAGTCAACAAAACACCTACTTCTAGGCAGTGCCGGATCCACCAGCTACAGTATGAAAACACTCTACACCGTCTGAACGCTTACCATCTGTGTATGCTGGCTCCTTCCTGAGACCTGTGAAAGACAGAAAACAGCGATGTTTCTGCAACCAAGTATTTTCCTTCTCACATAAGGAAAATTCAATGATCCCTCAGACAGTTCCTTACAGAACAAATCCTCCTCTTTTCCTCCAGCCAGCCCCAGTGGGTTCACCTTTACAGGCTCTGAGGCTAGGACAGGAAGTAAGACTTCTGAGAATTTCATCACTGGGAAATTTTAGTTCAATAATTTACCTTACATGCACATACACTCACCTCTTGCTGTTTCTTGGGCTGATAAGAAACATGTTTTGCTGTTGCATGTGGGCACATGCCTGTAACCCCCACACAGACTGAGGCAGGAGTCCAAGGCCAGCCTGAATGGCACAGGGAGACACTATATCAAAAGAAGAAATATGGTTTTGCTTTCTCTTGTTGGGAATAGTTTTAGCTATCAGTGTTGGTTTTAAGATACACATATAAAAACCACAAATCTCAAATATTGCTGGCTGTAAAACAATTATTAACTTTGTATTATTGCTAAATGAGCTCAACTCAGAAAATACCTTTCTGTCACAGTGATCAGACTGGGGCGGTATTTAATTCATCATTGGTGAGCAGTGTTTCATCATTAATAATTCAAAGTTGACTATGAGGCCCAGAATTCACAGAACATGATTTTGTACTGGCAATATTATAAAGATCTCACCTGAAATGATTTCTCACCTCCAAAGATGCCGGACCTGAAATGTACAAGGTCAAGTCAGTGATGTTTATACACTGTGTCATCACCCAAACTATTTCTAGACAAATCAGATTTCCAAGTCTCAACAGCAAGTCATCAGCCGAACGAGATTCCATATAGGTAGGTCATCACACAGCCCCAAAGAGGCACTTTTCTTATCCAGAATTTGACACTTGTAACACACACCAAAATCACTCACCTGTGAATCATGTGGTTTGCTGGGAATAAATAGCACCTAGAGAAAAGATGAAACTGGTTGGTAACAAGGCTCCTCATAACTTGCATTTTCATTCTCATATGCTCCAGTTTCTCAGGTGTTCATGTGTTTTCACTGTCAGTCATAGTGAGCTAGTATAATTCATCATGGAAACTGCCCACTTCGTAAGATGAAAACAGAAGTTCTCAACTAACCTTAATGCAGAACATTTCCAGTTGTATACAGAGAAGCTAGCTGCTCCTGAATCAGAGAATCATTTATTAGCAAAGCATCCGAAAAGACCAAACCTAGCCCTTTTTTCTTTTTGAGACAGGGTCCTGCTATATAGCTCAGGCTGCCTCAAAGTCAGCAATGATCCTCCTGAGTGCTGGGATTACAGGCATCCAGCACCAAGACTGGCTGCAGTCACTGTTACTGGATCAGTGAAGTAAAGCTGTATCTTCCAGTTGTATAGGTCTTTGCTATTCCTACACAGCCTTTTATGGAACTCCTTCATCCTTCTTCCCAGGAACCCCAGTAGGCTCACCATTCCTGGGTCTAGGGCTGGGGGGCTGGTTGCAGGTGCTCAGCGTTTTCAATTCTTCCCAGAAGTTTTTTTTTTTTAATGGAACTGGGGATTGAACTGAGGGGCCATTCTTATTCCACTGAGCTGGAGCCTCTGAGCTAGGGAGTCTTGACACTAGCTGGCATCTAAAAAATAAAGGGAGAGCAATACATGTCACAAACAGGAGAAAGCAAAAATCTGTGCCTAAGTCGTGGGATTTGTCCCATGTATAATGGATCCACGTCATTTACAACAATAAACAACTTACCTTTAGATGAAAAAGTTATCAGGACCTGGGAAAGAGGAAAGTAAATATTACTTTTAAGTGTTAAGGACAAAAAGCCACTTCTTTATTACCAACAACTGCCATCAGAACTCTAACATGCTGTAACTGTCATACTTCACAGAGCATCAGGTTATTGATTCAAATCATCTGACAGTGTCATGAGAGAAGAGTGTACCACTACAAGAACCAACTGCGGACTCCCTTCTCCAATAACCATTAAGAACAAGGAGCAAAAAGGCAGCAATGGTCTCCTGATCATTTGCCCTTTGGATTGTGTTTCTTCTACTCAAAGGAAGAAATAACCCGATCCCTCATTTTGGGTGATTACCTGTGTTCATCCTGGGCAGTAAGTGAATTCCTCAGGACTGGTTATGAGACTCTGGAAACAGAAAAAGGTGTTGCTTATACTCAAGGAAAGACTATTTGAAAACTCCTTTATAGCTATGGTCCACTTCTCAGCATTAAAATGACATCACTCAGGACTCAGCCATATGCTTGTCATTTAAGTTCATCACGGTGTACTCCAAAGCGCCCCCAAGGCAAATCATGCACCCACCTGCAGCACCGTGCGAGGTGGGCCACTTCTTGCGCAGAAGAATGAGTCTCCTCTCATTCTCTAAGCAGTGAGCGCTTCTGAAATGAAACGCATCTGAAAAAAAGCACGCTATACTAACACCTCACTTTGAACTGATAAAGTCCAGTAACTGCTGATGTTGCCACTCAGAACTTCTGCTTTCCCCACTGAGCCATCAGAAAGAGAGAGTTCAGTTCTTATATCATCCCCGCAGCACAACCCAGAGGCCTCGTCAAGTCAGAAAAGAGAGCCACGCTACTTACCCGAGGGCGGCGGTCTCGGGCTCCCGTACTCAGACGCGCGCCCAGCCCTGCGGAGAGACGAGATTAAACACAGAGCATTTCCCGCGCAACAGTTGTATGGAGCATTGGCCGTCTGCTCAGAGAGAGTCGTCCTCATAGAGGTAGGCACAGGTCTGTGAGGTCCTCATCACAGAGACGGCTGCCCACACCGCGCGCCAGGGCGACGGCCATTTTGTCCTTCACGTCCCGCCACTGCAGCCAGGTCAAGGTTCCGCATTAGTGCACCGAGACCGTACCATAAGTGGGCAAAACGGGAAGAAGGCCTAGGGAGCGCTACGCTCACGAATTTTTTTTTCCCCGTTAACACGAAGTTAACGGGGAAAAAAAAAAAAACCCCAAACCACACGCCACGCGTACCCACCAGCAGCTTTGAGGAAATGAGGCCGCATGGAAGCCCGGGAGACACCTAAATAGCACCCCGCAAAGGCCCACGGGATTTTGAGGGCGGGGCTATATTCAGCGCATGCGTATTCGAAAAAGCGGCGGGCCTGGAGAGCTCAAGACGCAAATTTCCCGAGAAGGCCACTGAAGCGCATCGCCCATACACTCGAGGCAGGAAAAGACGCGCGTGCTCTCTGTCCAAAGCCTGCGGCTCGGAGTCGCGCATGCGTCCCTCGTCCCCTCACGACGTAGTGAGTCGTGCGGGCGTGGGGACTGCAGTGTCGCTGTGCCGGCACCCCGCTGGAGTCTTAAGTCCGCGAGCCCCGTCGCCATGGACCCAGCGGAGCCCGAGCTCCGGGCCGATGCCCAGGGCCCGCGGCCACCTCCGAGCGCGCTCTCCGAGCCTGACGCTCACGGCCACAGCGCGAGTGGCGACTCAGGTAGGGCCGGGCCCTGGGGACCGCGGTGGCGCGTCCTCCTCCCGGGCTCGGCTGAGCTCCGTCGCGGATCCTGTCCCCCCAGAAAGTGGAGGCACCAACACCCCTGTCGCATAGACGAGTGACCTCGGATCCGAAGCCCGCCCGCGCCCGGAGCCTCTGAAGGGGACCTGTGTGCGACACCCGGGTGAACACGGCCCCAGGGGTGCGCGGCGCAGGTCTGGCAGAACAGGGCCGCTACCCAGAGGAGTCGGAGCCCATGCAGTCTGCTCCTAGACAAGCATGCCACACTGGGACAAATGCGATCGCCCTCGGGCGCTGCTTCTCAGCCTCCTCCCTGGTCACCCTGCCCAACCCAGACGACACCCAACCCCAAATTCCAATAACGTACTGCATACATTGGCCTTGTGCGGGGCTAAAGCCTTTTTTTTTTCTCAGACGGGATCTCTTTCGCTGGTTCTCCAGGCTGGCCTTGTACTTACTATGTAGCCTAGGCTGGCCTCTTAACTCATGGCGATCCTCCTGCCTCATTCTCCCAGGAGCGTGCGCCTTCACACGTGTGAGAGGCCTTTTTAAGAACCAGGTTTTAGGGGCCAGGGAGATGGCTCAGTGGAATAAGTGCTTCTCCGGGAAGCATAAGGGTCTGAGTTCAATCGCCGGTTGCGCCAAAGAGAGAGAGAGAGAGAGAGAGAGAGAGAGAGAGAGAGAGAGAGAGAGAGGGAGAGAGAGAGAACCAGGTTTTACCACCTCCTAGAACCGAGAGGTTTACTCCCATGGGACCAGTGTTGTTCCCGAGAATGCCTCAGGGTGATGTAATGAGTGGTACTATACACAATTATGGATAAAATTACAGTTTGAATTTTTTATTGAGTGGAATAAATTCATTTACTAAATGCTTGTTCATTGCATGATACAGCATCTGGGGGAAAAGATAATACACTTGCCCTGAAGATGTTTGGTTGGGTTGATTAAGGTGTGCATGGCTGGACAGGGGAGATGGCTCAGTAGAATAAGTGCTTGTCTGGCAAGTGCAAGGGCCTCAATTCAATCCCTGATTCTGCCCCCCCCCCCAAAGTACATGACTGTAATCCTAGCACTCAGAAACTGAGGCAGGAGGATGGAAAAGTTGGAGGCCAGCCTGGTCTGCATGGAGTTTGAGGCAACCTGAAATACATAGACCCTGTCTCAAAAAGAGAAAATGAAACTCCAGGTAGAGTTTGAGCATGGGAAGGAAGGGTATGGACACAATTTCTGAAGGATTTTTTTTTTTTTAATATTTATTTTTATTTATTACATTTATTTATTGTGTGTGTGTGTGGC